AATGATTAATTATTGGTTTTATTTCTTGTTTAAAATGCTTCCCAACTGCATTCCTCAAGTCCAACTCTGTTGCTGCCGGGAAGTTGGTCATCACAGCATCTGCCAAATAAGAAAGAAGAAAAAAAAACAAGAAAAGCTTGACATCATTTTTTACTTTAATTACACTAATTGTGACAGGGAGTCATTCTCTTTTGCTTGGATGCCTACTAAAAACAAAAACAAGATATACAGTATATTGTGTATCAGTGTGTTAAAAAGAGAGAAGCTCTCTGGTAAATGTTGTGTGTTTTATACACATACCTCTAATGACCGAGAACAGTGCAGTCTTTTCAAATGCCTCTTTCTGCAGCGGACCACCCCCCTTCATGTTGAATTTGGACATGAGGGATTTTTTTTAAAACCCTGAAATATAATACAGATTGAGGTGGTAAACAATTGTGGACAAAGTTTGACATTTCAAAATGACCAGTCAAGGAATTCATTTTTTTTTTATTTCTGATTTGCGTTGTAACTTATTGAGTATTGACACCATTGGCAAGATTTGTAGGCTTTACCTGTCCAGCATCCTTCTGGCACTGTCTTTGAGGTTTCTTCCTTCAACTCTGCACAACTTTGACACCTGAATAACACATGCCAATCTCAGGCGGGCAGTATTATATGTGTCCGTGTACAAGTTTTTACCAACCTTAAACACTGATGCCCATTGACCTGCAAGTTTTCCATCACTAACCCTTTAAAACTCTTTATTCCAGCAGTTTAAGTTTTTCCCTGTTAGTGCCCCCCACAATCTGCCTCTGCCTCCAAAATTGTTTGGCACAACTGACTTCCTAAAAACACAGTGATAGCTGCTGGAACTAAAAAGTAGCCTACATTAACCTCAAATGTACATGGAATAATAAATTCACCCCCTACCATTTTACTACATTATGTTTTCTGTTTAGGTTTTAATGATCCATTGCACATCTGAGCTATTTGCACTATTTTAATACTGCTGCAAACTTTTTATAATTGATAATTTTATATTGCCATTTTAAATCATTTGTATTCTTAAGCTTTACTATCAATTTGGAAGTTTCAAAATAAATCTTATTGTAACGTTACTTGTACAATGACAAAGATATTCTATTCAATTAGCTCATGCTCTCTCTGTATCTATCAAGCCATTGTTCAGTAATAAATTCAATATAATAATTAAAATAAATGATGGATTTTGTCAAAGATGAGAGCTTTAGTGAGGAAATGTTGTTTTGGAGAGTTTTTTGGAGAGTGCCCGGATCTTTTCCAGATGTTGAAACTCCTTTCAACATTGAAACTCAAGTGTGTTCACTGTATAAATTAATATGGATTAATCTTTGTCAAAGCTGTGTTTGTTCTATTGTTTGCTCTTTCGCCACTTTAAAATCGTTTGAGTTTGTAAACACATACAAATGATAAAACTTTTACTCTGTTAAATTTTGCAATTAATCCTCTGAACACATGCGTGCTGAACCATGGGCTAGTCACGGGTCCCTATCAACTACGATCTGCTCCCTTCACTAAAATGTCACGGTTCCTAAACATGATAACAAATAATATAGATACTATTTTGGCTATGCTCATCGCTGGTCTGGTTACTGGTATAGGGCTATAGCCAAGCTATTAAAATTAGACCACAGATTGTCTCGATTTCGCCAGGTGGGCTAAAAGCAGACTACACGTAGCCCCGTCCAATTTAGAGCTAAATCGTGGCTACATATAGACCATGTCATGAAATGACACTTATCTTTGTAGATATTATTGACACTGCGAACATGATGGGATATCAACCATATGCGCTGTCTGGCCAAAAACTACAGTGAATCAGGTTTGACTATAAGTGGGCTACAGATAGCCGCTCTGACTACGAGCTAAATCATGGCTACGCTCAGGCTAAGTATTGAACATGTCAAAGAAATGAAACCAAACACCCTGTAAACGCTGTTACTTTGCTTACATGATGGAATATCATACATCTCACAAGCTATTTTGCCAAAAAACGACATGAAACCATTTTTGGGCTAGAAGTGGGTTACACATAGCCGGACTAGGCCTATATCGGGTCTATACTTAACCGAGACGTTGAAATGACGGCTATTGCTTGCTGGGAATCATGAACCGCAGAGCAGCTGCTGCTCGAGGCCAGACTTCAGCACAGGCTTCCTATATTTCTGAAATGTAAGGTTAATTTAATCTTTAATCACATTAATCGTTTTGGTGGCATAACTGACTGGATAGTGAATCTAGTTCTCAGCGTGCTTTGCTTGATATTGCATTATAGGAGAGTAAATGTTATTTGATGTACTTTTCAATAAAGGTAAATACATTTTAGGCTTTAATGACGTTATGTGATATTTATTGCCAATTTATAAGAGTTTATTTTTGTGTTTGGATTTAAGCCGCGGTCTTTGAGCATGCAAAATTCCTTCGGATGCTGATATGACCTCATTCTCTAGGCCTATATCGGGTCTATACTTAACCGAGACGTTAAAATGACGGCTATTGCTTGCTGGGAATCATGAACCGCAGAGCAGCTGCTGCTCGAGGCCAGACTTCAGCACAGGCTTCCTATATTTCTGAAATGTAAGGTTAATTTAATCTTTAATCACATTAATCGTTTTGGTGGCATAACTGACTGGATAGTGAATCTAGTTCTCAGCGTGCTTTGCTTGATATTGCATTATAGGAGAGTAAATGTTATTTGATGTACTTTTCAATAAAGGTAAATACATTTTAGGCTTTAATGACGTTATGTGATATTTATTGCCAATTTATAAGAGTTTATTTTTGTGTTTGGATTTAAGCCGCGGTCTTTGAGCATGCAAAATTCCTTCGGATGCTGATATGACCTCATTCTCTACAGCGTCGTTTTAAAATAATTTAACACATAATAAATAATAATGCAATTATTAATATATAAAAACATACAATCTACTCTTTCCTGCAGCGCTGCAGTTTTAAATGTATGTTCTTTTCATTCAAATATGAGGTCATGCTGTGACATATCGATCACACGGTTTCACGTGATATGAGTTTTCAGGTCAGAGGATAGTAAACTACAACATTCAGAACCGTTCTGCTCAAAAGCCTTCAAATGTAGACGAACGAAACCAATTATGTTGTGGGCTACTAACACCATAAAGCAGCATTTAAACAGCACTTTACAAACAGCACGTAAAGGACGTGACGTCACGTCTCCACGTCATCGCGCTGCAGTGCGTAGGGAGCCTACCAAACAGTGTTGCCAACTTAGCAATTTTGTTGCTAAATTTAGCAACTTTTCAGACTGCCCTAGCAACTTTTTCTTCCAAAAGCACCTACCAACAAATTTAGTTATTTTTTTATTTTATTTGGCTACTTTTAGCAACTTTTGATAAGTGACTCAAACAATAAAAAGGCACATATTTTCCATCTAAATTTCACAAAAAGAGGAAACCAAAGATGCCTAGAAGTACATACATCACATGAATTAAGTTATTGCTGTTTGCAGTTGTTCAATTTGATAATAACAATAATAATTTAATAATTGTTCATTTATGAGACACCTTGTTAGTAGCTTGTACATGTGATTGTTGATCAGTTAGTATACTGTAAGAAAAATATCTAGAAAAATGGCAAAGGTACTAGTAATTTAATAAAACTGGATCTCTGACCATCACAAACACCACAACCACAGACTCTGGACTTTATAAACTACAGATCAACAGCAGCAGATTCAGCATCATAAAGACATACAGTGTTAGTGTCACTGGTGAGTATCATTGTAGTCATTCAGTGCTTTTCACTTGAACAGTTTTAGAAAACTGATTAATTTAAATGGACCCAGTAAATGTTTTTGTTGTGGCCTGTTTGAAGAAGTGAGCTTTGACTCAATATTAAACTTATTATAACTTTGATCAAATCTATCATTTTCACATGCACATCAAACTGAAAGACAATTGTCAGTTTTTGTCACCTTATGAATTTTAAACTTTTGAATTATGAATTTTAAAATTTTTAAAGTCTATTATTAATAGAAAAAAAATCATAATATTAGTCAGTTTTTCTGTGAACTGCTGTTTCTTGTTGCTGTTTTAGCTGCTGTTCCTTACAAACCCACCAGATGGCACCTTTATCAAATAAATCAATGTCATACAACTTTCTACTAAATATTGGTCAAAAGTATTGATAAAGTTGTTTATCAGTCCATTTCTAGTAATAATGACTGTCTGTCTTTAGCTGTTCCAGATTCAACTGCTGCTGCTGTTGCTGCTGCTGTTGTTGCTGTTCTGCTGGTTGCAGCTGCTGGTGTGATTTACTGTCACTGCAGGAGATCTATACAAGCAAGAAAAAATGGCAAGTATTGCATACAGCTGATTTGACAAGCTGGAATAATGAGATTTATTGTTGGAAAAAAAAAAACTTCAAAATATGGTAAAGTATGTATTTTTATTCTAATTGACCAAAGTAAAAAAAAATGTTTATTGTTCATACAGGAAAAAGGATGCAGCACAATGATCCTGACCTGGTGAGATACTTTGTACAAAATCTGTCTGTCTGTAAAACCTATGAATGTACAGAACTGAGAACTGTTAGGGCCCCAATATACTAAAAGTGAACTGGCGTGATGTCATTTTAAACAAAAATAGGCCAAAACAAAAAAAAAATTTTTTTACGTTTGTTTCGAGAATTTGAAACAGCTTGCTTTGAGCTTCCATTGGTCTGTGGTGATTATGCAATTGGTAGGTGTGGCTCTGGGGCTCCTCCTTCTTTGACATGGAAATCTTCTCCAGTTGATTTATTCTGTTCAGTCCATCGAAATCAGACATCTGTGAGCAAAAACCTGAATACTCTGGAGAGCTGCTTTACAGATGTTATTCTAACTGAGAAGTGACACTGTTTTGTATAAAGTGCTATATAAATAAATGTGACATGACTAGAGTACCGAATTGCAGCTTGTGCAAACATAACCACATGGCTATGATGAGATGCTTTCTTAACCGCAACAAGAGAGAATCAGATGGTATTTTAATGACATTCGCATCGCTCAAATCACTGGAGATCTCAGTAAGATCTGTACAGATGTTCAGTGCAATGAAGGCACTGAGAGATTCAGAGGCAGACTGCAGCTGGACAATCAGACTGGATCTCTGACCATCATGAACACCAGAACCTCAGATGCTGGAGTTTATAAACTACTGATAAGCAGCAGCAACATCGAGAGTGAAAGGAGCTTTAGTGTTACTGTTCATGGTGAGTCATGTTTAAAAATTACTCTTGTATGTGTAAGTCACGTCATTCAAATGTTTTTTTTTTTTGCAGTGACATTTAGATGTGATTTTAGTTTTAATTTACATACAGTATATAGATTATGTCATACTGTTAAAGTGGAATTTGCAGACTTAAATTAGAATTTAGTTCAGTAGGATTTACAACGTTTTGTTTTGTATTTGTTATTAATTTTTCAGTTACCTTCTGCTGATCGTCTCTTTAAATCCATCTCTTATTTCACAGTCAGTATGTTTTCCCCACTCCCACCAGGAATCCAAAGTGCAAAGTATTTCATTTCAAATCTGTTTAATAGCACAAAATGTTAATAAATGTTGCTTTCCAGACAAAGTCAAGAGGGCATGTTTTATTACTTACATATACTCAGTTCTTTAATCTATGTGCTGTTTCCCCCAAAAGATCCTCCAGCAGCTCTTTGGCTTGTGTTTCAGAAGTTCCTGCTGCTGAACAAGATAAAATGAAGAGAAAGTCAGTGAAGGAGGGAGAATCTGTCACTTTAGATCCTGATGTAGTAAAAAACCCAAATGATTTAAAGGTGTGGTATTTTACTGATATCCTCATCGCTGAAATCACTGGAGATCAGAGTAAGATCTGTACAGATGATCAGTGTGATGAGAGATTCAGAGACAGACTGAAGCTGAATAAAACTGGATCTCTGACCATCACAAACACCACAACCACAGACTCTGGACTTTATAAACTACAGATCAACAGCAGCAGATTCAGCATCATAAAGACATACAGTGTTAGTGTCACTGGTGAGTATCATTGTAGTCATTCAGTGCTTTTCACTTGAACAGTTTTAGAAAACTGATTAATTTAAATGGACCCAGTAAATGTTTTTGTTGTGGCCTGTTTGAAGAAGTGAGCTTTGACTCAATATTAAACTTATTATAACTTTGATCAAATCTATCATTTTCACATGCACATCAAACTGAAAGACAATTGTCAGTTTTTGTCACCTTATGAATTTTAAACTTTTGAATTATGAATTTTAAAATTTTTAAAGTCTATTATTAATAGAAAAAAAATCATAATATTAGTCAGTTTTTCTGTGAACTGCTGTTTCTTGTTGCTGTTTTAGCTGCTGTTCCTTACAAACCCACCAGATGGCACCTTTATCAAATAAATCAATGTCATACAACTTTCTACTAAATATTGGTCAAAAGTATTGATAAAGTTGTTTATCAGTCCATTTCTAGTAATAATGACTGTCTGTCTTTAGCTGTTCCAGATTCAACTGCTGCTGCTGTTGCTGCTGCTGTTGTTGCTGTTCTGCTGGTTGCAGCTGCTGGTGTGATTTACTGTCACTGCAGGAGATCTATACAAGCAAGAAAAAATGGCAAGTATTGCATACAGCTGATTTGACAAGCTGGAATAATGAGATTTATTGTTGGAAAAAAAAAAACTTCAAAATATGGTAAAGTATGTATTTTTATTCTAATTGACCAAAGTAAAAAAAAATGTTTATTGTTCATACAGGAAAAAGGATGCAGCACAATGATCCTGACCTGGTGAGATACTTTGTACAAAATCTGTCTGTCTGTAAAACCTATGAATGTACAGAACTGAGAACTGTTAGGGCCCCAATATACTAAAAGTGAACTGGCGTGATGTCATTTTAAACAAAAATAGGCCAAAACAAAAAAAAAATTTTTTTACGTTTGTTTCGAGAATTTGAAACAGCTTGCTTTGAGCTTCCATTGGTCTGTGGTGATTATGCAATTGGTAGGTGTGGCTCTGGGGCTCCTCCTTCTTTGACATGGAAATCTTCTCCAGTTGATTTATTCTGTTCAGTCCATCGAAATCAGACATCTGTGAGCAAAAACCTGAATACTCTGGAGAGCTGCTTTACAGATGTTATTCTAACTGAGAAGTGACACTGTTTTGTATAAAGTGCTATATAAATAAATGTGACATGACTAGAGTACCGAATTGCAGCTTGTGCAAACATAACCACATGGCTATGATGAGATGCTTTCTTAACTGCTTTTTTTAAGACAACATCGGGATGTTTGCAAACAGTATATCGCTGGTCACGTATTTCATTTATTTTTACCTCTAAAGTGAGTAAGGAAAGAAACTTCACCATGAGTATATTGGGGCTTTAGGTGGTACAGTATGTATCTGTTTGAGATTTCTGTGAGATGTTTTCTTTGAGATCGTTACATTCAGCAAGCATCGGAGAGAAAAAATATATATAGTGTTTGTGTAACTGAATCATCAGGGTTTTTTCACAATCATTTGTATTACCTTCTGTGAATCTGTTTTTCTTTCAGGAGAATGTTGAAGAAGTAGTATCCCTTATTAAAGGGACATCCACTGTTTCGGCTGTGAGCACGCAGGGCAATGACGCTAAAGAGACATCCGATGATCTGGCTGTGAGCACGGAGTGGAATGATGCTAAAGAGACATGCGATGATCCGGCCGGGAACACTCGGGGGGATGAAAAGACATCCCATGATCCCTCTGGGAACACACAGGGGGATGGCGGTAAAGAGAAATCCCATGATCCGGCTGGGAACACGCAGGGGGATGGCGGTAAAGAGACATCCCATGATCCGTCTGGGAACACGCAGGGGGATGGCGGTACAGAGACATCCCCTGATCCGGCTGGGAACACGCAGGGGGATGGCGGTAGAGAGACATCCCCAGATCCGGCTGGGAACACGCAGGGGGATGGCGGTACAGAGACATCCCATGATCCGTCTGGGAACACGCAGGGGGATGGCGGTACAGAGACATCCCCTGATCCGTCTGGGAACACGCAGGGGGATGACGGTATAGAGACATCCCATGATCTGGCTGTGAGCTAAGACACTGAATTACATTATTTGCAGTAAAACTAAAGCCGGTTTCACACCGCACGCATAAGCAGCGCATTTTTTTTTGTCACCCATGTTAACAGGTTAGAGTATTCACACTGCATGCAGAGGTGGTGTGGCAGTGTGTAGCAGGAGCAGAGCAGAAGCTGCGATCTTTGCTGCGCCGATCACGCTGGATAAAAGCCACAGTGCATTGCATGAGTAAACACGAAGGAAAAAAAAAACTTTTACCGTAAAATTAAATAAGTGAGCTGTTTCATGTTTCCAGGGTTGAGGAGTAATGGAATACATGTAATGGTGTTATGTAATCAGGATACAATAATCTAGTAACTAATCTGTTACAGTTACATCAAAAAACAATGTATTCAGATTACAGTTACATTTTGTTAAAAGTGGGAATACTATGAGGATTACATTTGTTTCATTTAAAATTAAATAAATGAGTATTTTGACATACTGCTATATATTTAGCGCTGCATAGTTCCTGGTTCTGTTGACACATGTTGACTCACGTGAGCCGCCTGCTGGTGCGTGCGCAAATAACACCCGTCTACAATTATTCTCCTCAAATGCAGGATGACTGAGATGCTGCTACAGTAAATGAATTACGATGCTTGCTGCTGTGAAAAACTTTACATGTCTGGAAATTTCACAGTTATTTTGTTTTCAAAGAGGATAAAGGAAAAAACATAGTTGTATAGCGTAAGCTATGCATGAAGACTCTTGCTTTAACAAAGGCTACTCAACCAACTTTCAACATTTGCAGGTACGAGTCCGACTAGCATGAACATCATCATGTTAGCTAAAATTTAGTGTTTGTTAGTGATTTATAATTCCATAGTGTGCATGATGTAGTTGTACATTTTCTAGCGGAAAATGAGCCTGAAAGGGTAGAAAGTCCCCACACCCTGGATCAGTCAATGAAATAAAGAAAGATCATAGCATTTCAAAATGTAGGCTTATTTTAAAATAGACTCATATGTATATGGTGTAAAAAAAATCATGTTGTGTATAAACTATATTTATTTTTACTTGTACATGTTAAAGAGATAAAAAATGTATAATAAAAATAAAACTGTATAGTTTAGTTGGGGCAGTTGTGGCCTAATGGTTAGCAAATCGGAGACTTTAACTTGTAACCAGAAAGTTGTGGGTTTGAATCTCGGGTCCGGCAGGAATTGTTGGTTGGGGGGAGTGAATAACCAGTGCTTTCTTCCACCCTCAATACCACGACTGAGGTGAGACCCTTAAGCAAGGCACCGAACCCCCAACTGCTCCCTGGGTGCCACAGCAATATGGTTGCCCACTGCTCCGGGTGTGTGTTCACTGCTGTGTGTGTGCACTTGGATGGGTTAAATGCAGAGCACACATTCCGAGTATGGGTCACCATTCTTGGCCACACGTCACTTCACTAGATGTCTGCATAGCCTTTTAAAATAAGTGAAATAAGACGCGAAATAGTTTCAAATTGTTTTTGCTATAGTTTTTATTAGTTTTAATTTTAAATTCATAGTTAAATAAAAGTAGATATTGCTTTTTTGACTTATTTACATAAAACTTGAAGTAATCCAAAAGTAATCACATTACATTACTTTTATATTGTGGTACTTGGATTACGTTACTGAATACTTTTTAAATGAAGTAATTTGTAACTGTACCAGAATACATTTTAAAAGTAACCCAGCGTGTTTCACAACCACCATATGACATTCAGCGCTGTGAAAAAAAGGCTTAATAAATGTACGAAAACACAATTGCCAGAAGTTTTTGCCCAAATTTCAAAGGCTTGTTTAAATGATTAAAACTATAGATTTTTAAATGATTAAAGCTATAGTTTATATGTATATCTTAACGTTAAGATTACTTTTATCATGCAAACTATACAGCATGTTATATGCATGTGTGTGTGGGAACACGGCCGCATCACAGCAGAATATGCTGCCCATATTATAAATCAAAGCACATGAAATACAGTTGTCGGAGAACACCTGAAAAACGTGAGCGAATGACCGATACTCGTCTGCATTTGCAGTATACAAGACACGGTTTAGCTGTGCACGACAAATGCTGCCAGTGTAGAAGCACAATGGGCGCGTGCTGCTCCCGCTCTGCATATGCACAGCTTCTGCGCCACCTCCGCTCTGTTTGTGCATCCAGTGTGAAACCGGAGTAAGAGTGCTTAAGGATTTTCAGTATGTAATGGTGGAGGGATTGTTACAGCAGCTTTAAGGATCCAGACAGGAACAGTGCATTTACAGTATTGCGGTTTCTTTAAACCTTTAACATATGAATGTTCCAGTAGCCCCTCACTGCGGAACTCAAGATCCAGGGGTGTGGTTGGATTTAGGTTTAGGGGTGGAGATGGGTGGGTTTAAGGATTAGGGGGTAGAGACGGGTAGGCTTAGGTATATTTCAGGTGGAAGGAGTTGTATCTGCATCTAACCATGCCCCCTGGACTTGTGTTCTGCAGTGAGGACCATCTCGAATGTTTTGCCAATCATTATTACATAGACTGAGGTGAGACCCTTAAGCAAGGCACCGAACCCCCAACTGCTCCCTGGGTGCCACAGCAATATGGTTGCCCACTGCTCCGGGTGTGTGTTCACTGCTGTGTGTGTGCACTTGGATGGGTTAAATGCAGAGCACACATTCCGAGTATGGGTCACCATTCTTGGCCACACGTCACTTCACTAGATGTCTGCATAGCCTTTTAAAATAAGTGAAATAAGACGCGAAATAGTTTCAAATTGTTTTTGCTATAGTTTTTATTAGTTTTAATTTTAAATTCATAGTTAAATAAAAGTAGATATTGCTTTTTTGACTTATTTACATAAAACTTGAAGTAATCCAAAAGTAATCACATTACATTACTTTTATATTGTGGTACTTGGATTACGTTACTGAATACTTTTTAAATGAAGTAATTTGTAACTGTACCAGAATACATTTTAAAAGTAACCCAGCGTGTTTCACAACCACCATATGACATTCAGCGCTGTGAAAAAAAGGCTTAATAAATGTACGAAAACACAATTGCCAGAAGTTTTTGCCCAAATTTCAAAGGCTTGTTTAAATGATTAAAACTATAGATTTTTAAATGATTAAAGCTATAGTTTATATGTATATCTTAACGTTAAGATTACTTTTATCATGCAAACTATACAGCATGTTATATGCATGTGTGTGTGGGAACACGGCCGCATCACAGCAGAATATGCTGCCCATATTATAAATCAAAGCACATGAAATACAGTTGTCGGAGAACACCTGAAAAACGTGAGCGAATGACCGATACTCGTCTGCATTTGCAGTATACAAGACACGGTTTAGCTGTGCACGACAAATGCTGCCAGTGTAGAAGCACAATGGGCGCGTGCTGCTCCCGCTCTGCATATGCACAGCTTCTGCGCCACCTCCGCTCTGCTTGTGCATCCAGTGTGAAACCGGAGTAAGAGCGCTTAAGGATTTTCAGTATGTAATGGTGGAGGGATTGTTACAGCAGCTTTAAGGATCCAGACAGGAACAGTGCATTTACAGTATTGCGGTTTCTTTAAACCTTTAACATATGAATGTTCCAGTAGCCCCTCACTGCGGAACTCAAGATCCAGGGGTGTGGTTGGATTTAGGTTTAGGGGTGGAGATGGGTGGGTTTAAGGATTAGGGGGTAGAGACGGGTAGGCTTAGGTATATTTCAGGTGGAAGGAGTTGTATCTGCATCTAACCATGCCCCCTGGACTTGTGTTCTGCAGTGAGGACCATCTCGAATGTTTTGCCAATCATTATTACATATTCCGGTCTTTAGTGACCTGGACCTATATATCCAACACGGATGTGTCAGGGGTGGTAAAGGAAGAGGAATCAGTTGCAGGGATAACAAGGATTTTATTGAGATTCAAAACAAACAGGAATGAAGCCACTGTCTGAGAGGGTAATCTGGAGAGATCCCAACCAGGTCCGGGGAAGATAAAGGCAGCTCAACAGCAGGTATCTAGGAAAAGGGGGTTGCCAGAGCAAATGGCCGCAAGTAACAGTCCACGAGCAACGAGACAGTCCAGCCCTCCAAGTAATTCCAGGGGCCAGAGAATGGCGATGGTGGGAGGGAGAGGGAAAGAAACTCCTGGAGGGTGCAGGGAACGCTGGGCAGCAAGGGGAAGGGGGCAAGAGGCAGACAGAAGGGAGTCCAGCAGCCAGGGCAGATGGGGGGGCTGGAGAGGGCAGAGGGGAAGGGAAAAAACGAACACAAAACTAAATGGCTGGAGCTAAAACTAGGAACTAGAAAGAACTGGGCTGGATCAAATGAAAACCCTAACCCTAATATCAAAAGTAAAATAAAAGCTAAGGAAACTAGGCTAGGCTAGACAAAACAGGATAACAGTCAACAGCGACAAGAGCCAGGTTAACTCAGCAGCGCAGAGATTTCGATCTGGCACAGGACAGAAAACGAGGGGAATATAAGGGTGACTACTGATTAGAAACAGGTGTACCCCTAACGAGATAAGATAACGAGAGGGACGGGGTAACAATAGAAAATAGAGCACATGGCAACATAATTACCAACTGACAGCCATGTGCTCCAGACAGACCAGGACACAACATAAACAAACCCAGATCAG